CAGGAGCCTACCAGGAAGCAGGATTTCTGCATGATTCCAAATGCTGTCTGGGAACTTTGGTACAAAGGTTAGTTTGCCTGGCCACAAGCACCTAGAACAGATAATTACCCCCCCCCACCCCAAACAGAGACTACAGATGCATATCAAGAGATTATCAGGGATGGGACTGTGGCTCAGTGGCAGAACACTTGCCTAGCATGTGTGGGGCATTGGGTTTGATCCTTAGAACCACATAAAGATAAACAAAAGCATCTACAACTACAAAAAAAATTTAAAAAGAGGTTATCAGACTCTTGTTTATGGACGTTTTTACTAAGTATACACATTATTTTCTGTATCTTTTATTAGTCACATAGCCCTTGTCACAAAGGAGCCCTTCTCATCTCTAACAAAAGTTTTCTTACAAAATAATTTTTATTACTTTATAATAAATCAAGACTATTTTCTCAATAAGTTACCTCCTTCCCCACTTTCTCTGAAATACTGATTACAGCTATCTAAATTGGTGTTTCCTAAATTTCCATTTCTAAGACTTCAGCTAAACTCCTTTTTCCTTTTGTAGTTTCTGAGTTCGGATGGATGACACACTTGTCATATATTTAATTTGTGTCTGTGTTAGTTAGCTTTTTAATCACTGTAAAATACATAACAAAATCAACTTAAGGAGAGGTTTATTTTGACTCACAGTTGTAGAAGGTTCAGTCCATAGTCAGTTGGATCCATTTCTGTTGGGTCTGTGGTGAGGCAGTACATCATGGGTAGAGCATGTGGTGGAGGTACTGCTCACCTCATGGTGAAGAGGAAGCATAAAGAGAGAGAGGAAGAAAAAGGGGTGGGGTCCGACTATTTTATTCATGCCACCAATGATCCAAGAATTCTTTCTCCATATTCCTTACCTATACACAAATCCTGAAGAACAGAATAGGAACTGCTAGCTCTGTGATCTTGGACAAGTTATTTAAGCCTTATACATAATTCTCTTAGATATAAGATTCATTACCCGAGTTTCCATGGTTGTGCTCTGAATCATGGAGAGGACTATGCCTGTATACCCTTGCTTTCAAGCCACCCAGCTTCAGAATGGATTTGGCCAACGAGAGGCATAGGTGAGCCATTGGAAGATGGTGTGGGGGGGTAAAGGTATCTTTTTCTTGTTCTCTCCCTTCCTTAAGTGGCATCTTCTTAGGTTATATTACTTTGGTGGTTCTATCTCTCACCAGCCTGGCCTTCCCTCATTTCAGGTCTTCCCAGTAAGGCAGATTCAGGAAATCAACAAACCTGTCCTATGTAGTTTTCTCTGTCCATATGTATCACAAGATAAGTTCATGGTGATTTGAGCCTGATGCTGTAGAAGGGGAGACTTTGCCTTTTGAGTAGGAATACAGGAAAGGGTTGAGGTCACTAACCCATCTTCTGTATGAGAGAATGACTTGGGCTTATCAAAGGTAAGGGAATGCAAGTGATGCTTTCTGAGCGTACCTTGAAAAGCAAAAATTCACATAAGACTACATTTTATTTTTGATTCACAAACCCCTATCTTCCCCTGAAAACACTCCAATTGGAAGTGTAATATTGGCAAAAAAATGTCTAGGGCTACTATCCTTTAATGTGTTAATGCATCTCTTACCAATCTAATAGGTTATGGGATATGGCAGAAAAAAAGGATATTTGAAGGATGAAGGTATGAAGTATAGGAATAAGAGAAATGGATTAAATATGAGTATTCTGTGCTGAATTATGTTCCCCTAAAATCCATATCCCCAGTATTTCAGAATATAAACGTATTTTCAGATAAAGTATTAAAAGAGAAAATTAAGTTAAAATGGGGCTGTATAGGTGGGAAATAATATGATATGATATATTATATGAAGAGACACCATAGGTGTACATGCACAGAGGGTGAAATATGTGAAGAGGCAGCAAGAGATTAGCCATCTGGAAACCAAGGAGAAAGGAGGTGTGGGAAACCAACCCTATTGGAATTCTGATCTTGAACTTTCATCTTCCAGAACTAAAAAAAATTAAATTTCCCTATTATGAAATAGTGTGATTATGACATCATAGACTCTTCCTCTTTGAGGGCTTATTGTTTCCTTATTGGTAGAAATAAAAGTATTCTAGAACATCAGTATACATAAAGGAGAAAAATAATTCTAATCCTTATTTAAGTAGATTTAATAATACTTGTGTCATGGGAGTGATACAAATATATCACATGAATTGAACTTTTCTCTATTATTAATGTCTTACAAATATGTTTTGGCAAATTAGCACAATTTTAATGTTCAGAAATGGATTTTGTAGAACACCAATTTCCTTGGCTAATATAAAAAAATACTGAATATTGTTAGAATAATGGTATATAAAATAGAATTGAGGTTTGTCTTAGCCTCTTTTATTTGTTATATAGTATCAAAAAACACTGGTCGATTATACATGGAGCAGAAAAGTATTGGCTTATAGTCCTTTGGTTGGTAAGTCCAAGATGGAGGACCAGGTTTAAGAAACCCATTCTTACTATACTAATACAATCTTTTGGTGACATTATTAATTCATGAGGTTAGAGACCTCCTGGTGAGAGAATGACTTGGGTTATATTTCTTTGGTGGTTCTATCTATTTAAATGATTAAAAATGGGCTCTAAAACATGTTTTTTAATGTCAGTCACCTGGTATTAGGCCCCACTTTACATTGTTGCATTGGAGATTAAAGTTGCATTCTTTTTGGGAGATACTTTCAAACCACAGCAGGGTTAAAAACTAACTTTTAAAATTTATACGAATTCTGTCTCTTTATGATTTTACCTAAGTGTCAACAAACAAAATAATGTAACAATTTGGGAGTTATTAAATAATATACTGAGAATATGTAATTCCACCAGTTATGTATATTAAAGCTGACTCAAACAGCAAAATTGACCATGGGGACAAATTTTGAAAATGAGTTCATGAGTAATAATGATGGTTTTTATGTTCTAATTCACCTGAATTTCTCAAATTTCTGTCCTGTGATTATTTATTTCAATTTTAAGTTTTCTAAAAATGCATGTTTATGAGAAGATTTGAAATTTTCTCCTCAAAAATCCTACAATATGAACAATTAACAGTATTTAGTTATTAATGAGTAAGCTGAAAATGGATTATCTAAGTTGCAAATATGTCTACCCTATAGAAAGCTTTCTTTTGATAATTCTCTCTTAAGTGCTAGTAAGATATTAAAAAAATATTTACACTAAAGAATTGAACTTGGGGGGACATATGTTGCCAAATTCTTTAAATTAAACTTTAGTATCTGGTAATATCTTTTTTTAAACCAAAGTACTAGATTTTCATGTTAAATTTAATTTCTTAAATGGAAGACACTTTCTAAAAAAATCTATAATATGGAAAAACATGAGATTAGTTGATAAACTAGGAAAAGAAAAACTTTTGGTATATAAATGATTAAAAATGGGCTCTAAAACATGTTTTTTAAATAGATAACTCTTTGGATCTCAGTGTTCTCATAATTTGATGGTTTGAATCAGAAGTGTTGCATTATTTCTAAACTCCATTGCTTCCAACCATTTAACAACTTAAGTTTTTCTAGCAAGGTTATAGGATATCAATTAAATAAAATTTGCAATTTGTCAAAATGAACGAATAAATAAATGTGAGGATTCAAAGGAAAGACCAAAAAAGGTGGTTGAAGACATCTAAGGTGCAGATCAAAGTGTTGCAAAGCCTTTATGAATTACTATGTTATAATAAAGTCAGGTAATATTTTATGGGTCCTTCACTAATTTAAAAATTACACATGAGTTTGGGTCCATATTATATTTGTGACAGTGTGCACTGGTAATTCTTCCTTTTCTATGACTGCACCCTTACTTTTTCCCTCTAATTAGCTGGTGCAATTTGATATTTTTGTGACTTCAGATTGCTTTCTCATTGTTGGGTTTACCTTACCATCCCATATACAATAGAATATTCCATGCATAGTAACTGTTTGCTTAATTTGGCAGCTGGGATATTAGAATTATGTATCATCTAGATAGTGGTACTTTTATAATGCTATTTGCTGTCAGACCCTTTTGTTTAAATTAAATATTAGGTTAATAAACCTTATTTTTGCAGTGCCTAGCAATGATTGGCAAACATTCTAATACGTGAAGTAGACGCAAATTATCAATTCTCATGTATGTAACGATCAGTTAAGGAGAAAAGTACATCCAGCACAAAGATGTGTGTCAGCCCTTCGCTTATTTGATTTTTCGCTTTTGGCAAGTTCGGTGATTGGGAAATTCCTAGAAAGGTGGCGGGTGGAGACTCGCGACCGAAGCAGCAGCCAGAGTTCAGAACCTTGTGAGGTTTAGGTACATTACAGGTAGGGAGGGATATGTTTGTCTTGGAGGTGGTGGGAAAGAGCGCGAGCCAAGGAATCATGGGCGCAGGTAGCAGCGCAGCCCTCCCGTTGCCTCTCCGGGCTTCGCCAAGCCTAGTGCGGGGGTAGCGCCACCGGCCCAAGGGTGGCTCCGGGGCCCCGCCTGCCCGCCCGCCGGGCGGCCTCGCTGCACCCGGGAGTGCCTGGCCCGTGCGGGGCGGTGCTCCGCGGCGGCCCCGCCCCACCCTACCACCCCGCGGGTCACAATGTAGGGTTAGGGCGGCCGGCGGGCGGGGCTCTGCGGGGGAGGAGCTACCCGGCGGGGGCGGTGACGGCGGCTGGGGGAGGGGAGGGGAGGAGGAGTCGCGGAGGGAGGAGGACAGCGCCATTCCGGCCGGCCGCTCCCTCCGTCCCCTTGCTCCCTTCCCCGCAGTGGCCCACGAGCCGCCGGCGAAGGAGCGCGCGAACGCGTGACGCGGCCCGGCTTGCTAGCGCCCTCCCGCGCCCCGCCGCCCGCCGCCCGCCCATGGCCCGGGCCGCCGCGGACAAGCCGCGCTGAGGCGGGCCGCGCGGAGACGTGGGGCTGCCGCGGTGGCCGTCGCAGCCCGCGCCTCGCCGCCTGCCCGCGGTGCCGGTGCACGCCGGCCGCCATCGCCTTCGCGCCTGGCTGGTGGGGGCGCTGTCCACCCCGGCCGTCTGCGCCGCTCCCTGGAGTTCGGCGGACCTCGGCAGCCAGGGCCGGCAAAGGCGCGAGGAACCGGACGCCGCCGCCGCGGGGGCCATGACCGTGGAGCAGAACGTGCTGCAGCAGAGCGCGGCGCAGAAGGTGAGGCGAGCCGGCGAGCTGGCCCTGCGCGGCCCCTCTCCTCCTTCCGACGTGCTGGCCTCTCCCGCCGCGGCCCGGCACTCCCCGGCCTCGCCGCCCGCGGCCGCCCGGGCCTCGGCTGCCCCGGGCTTCCTCCTCCGCCACTCACCACTCCAACCCGTCGCTTTGGGGGCCTCGCGCTCAGTCAGTGCCAAGCTGCGTGTGGAAGAGGGGTGTAGTTTGCGGGTTTCAATCCACTTCCTTCTGCCGATTGTTTTCCCGTAACAGACGGTGCCAGGTATTGAGAGTGACCCTCACATTCCTACAGTGCTCCGCACGGCTTCTTAATTAAACTTTATTCTTCCCTACTCCTCTCTTTTTCTTTCTTTCTGAGAATACCAGTTGTCATCCCTTTTGAGCACAGTTTATATTTCGAAGGTGGTAGGATTCCAGGCCTGCTATTCTGCAAAAAAGATCACTAAAATTGAATTGCTTGCCCTTTTTGGGCAGGTACGTTGACTGATCAGGTGAACTCTCAATGTACAAGTAGAGGTTTTGGGTGGTTTTCTTTTTCTTTTCTTGAATGTTCTTGAAACTGTCCCTTAAGAAAGGAAACCTTTCTGGCTATGTTATTCAGGAATCTTTTGTCCCCTAAGTTTGACCTTGTTCTGTCGTTCACCCTTTACACTTGCATCAGTCACAGATTCAAATGGTCACTCATTTATGCGAGAATTAAAAAAAAAAAGTTTATTGATGCATCAGATCTTATAGTGAATCATGAGCTCATCCTGCTATTTTAGATTTTGCTTTCAGAATCTTAATTGCACTATCATGGCTTGCACCATATCCCGAAGAGTAGTTGTCCATGACTTGATTTATTTCCCATTCGTGTGAAAGCGTTTTGGACAATCGGGAAACATTGGCTTAGTAGTTCTGGAATTATGGGGATAATTAGGTTTACTGTGAATGACTGAAGCTGTTTGGTTTATCTGCCTGAGTAATGAATGCCCCACCCTTTTGTAGTTTTGGCATGCAGTAGTTCGTATTTTACCTGTGCTTGACTTTACAAGAACTATTGTGCTTAAGTGGACTATTTATACACTCACAGCTTGCTAAATTTTTGCATTGAGATCGTTTTTAGAATTTTATGATACTAAAGAGGTAATTGAAGATGGTCAAGAATTTTGGAAAGCAAGGATAGTACATTGTTATTTTTGGCACTTTGGGAACATTGTTTTTGAGACTCATGTTAATTTATGTTACTGGTGAATGGAGAAGATTATTGTAGACTGCAATTTATTACAGTGAAATAATTCAAGATATGATGATGGGAGTTTAAAACAGTCTACCTGCTAATCATATTCTGTTTTGAAAACCTTAATATTTAGTTTTTGATGTTGTGTATGTGAGATGAGTTAAGACTTAGGGGAAGATCCTGTGGTTATATGAATAGTAAGCAATAGCTAATAGACTTTGTATCATTTTGTTTATAATAGTCTTCAGTGTTGAATATTAAGACTTGTTAGTTTCAAAATGGGAAAAGTGGCTCATATTTTTCATATATCTTAAGCTTGAACAATGGCAAGAAGTTTTGAGATTTTTAATTGATTTTGACTAAATATCTTCTTTAGCAAAGCCAATTAACACTGACTTCCTTGCCAGAGGTGCATGCATAAAATTGTACAATCAAGTATGATTACATGAACGGTGTGACTCTGCAGCATGTACAACCAGAGAAGTGAAAAATAGTGCCCCATTTGTGTACAATGATTCAAAATGCATTCTGCTGTCATGTGTAACTAATTAGAACAAATAAAATAAAAAAATCAAACTAATGAATGTGATCTTGATTATCATGTCCAAGTTCCTAGTTTAATGAGCCCATCCTCCTTAAACAAAAGGAGTAGTCGTTAATTCAAAATATTATCAGTTTGATGATGATATTTTTTACTATTTTTTTTAAAAATAGTGATGTTATTTTTTAATATGTTATATATGTGTATATGTGTTTTAGATCATTTTGTTTATACTGAGGAAATTTTTTAGATCAACATAATATTGTTACACTCCATGAGGTTTCTGAAGACATGTATTTGTTTTTCATGTCAATACACTATTACTTTGTTACTCGTATAAATATTTAAAAATATTTATATGAGTATAAATATTTGAAACCACCTACCTCAAGTAAGTTAACAGATTTAAATATATCAAGCTAAGAACTAGGAAGTAAACTTCAAGCCAGTAACTAGGAAGTGAATTCATACTTTAGAAGAAACAAAAGTGAAACTTTATTTTCACTTAGAAACTTTATGAATTATCAGTAAAAGGAGAGGTGTCTAGGGTATGTTGCATAGCCAAATTTTAGTTTTCTGCTTTCCTTAAAATCATGTGTATGCTGATGTGCTTGTAAATTTTAAGGAAATAGTTGCATTATGGTAGTTGGAACGATTTCCCACATTTTCAAGATTTTTTTTTTTTTCTTTTACTGCGGAAGTATGTTAGATTAATAATGTTTTTAAAAAGCAGCACTACCCAAAAACTTTCTTAGGTCTTTTATTTATCTAAATAGTAGCTTGTCACTGTGTAACATGAAAAGACAAAGGGCTTTCTTTTCCCCTTCCTGTGTTCTTTGCTTGATTGCTGATGTTTGGATAAGTCAGGGAACTAGGAGATGTAGTAACACTGCAGAGGGCTGCTTTTCTGAGGTTTAGATGTTACAGGTGAAGTGAAGTTGGCAGCAGAATCAAGTACAGTTAAATCCTTTGTTAACTTTGGTCTTTGATATGTATCTTTAGTTGTTGTGCTTGGCATTTACCCAAGGGTAGGATCAGAAATGTGAAACATATATTCAAATTCCAAATGAAGATTCTTCAGAGCAGCAATAGGAAGTTTCCTCCCAGGAACCATGATAACTTATAGATGAAGTGGGTGGGGTAACTTTACAGACAGCATCCTTCTGAGTTGAATAAAATATAAAATTCCTATAGATAACTTGCCTATATTGTGTCACTGTAGGGCTTAGAATTGTATTTTGCACATAGTAGGACTCAGCAAATATTTGATCAGTGAAGTAATGTGTTAATGGGTTCTAAAAGGAATGCAAGTATAGTACTTTCCTCAGAGATTTAAATATTGAGAAACAAGGAAAACTTGAAATTGCATTCATGATAGAAAAATAGGCAGGGGAAGTGAAGACAGGATGTGGGTTAGTCTGAATCACCTTTCTATGACTTTGGTGAAATCATTAAATACCTTTAAATCTCCTTTTAATGCCTTAAAGTTAGTATGATTAGACATGAGCAACTACTTTAGATCTGGGGGTTACTAGACTTATACAAGCGTTTATTCTGTATAGGGAGGATAAATTGTAAAGTGTGGAAGCAAGGTATCTTTGGGATCTATACAATCAGCTTTCACTGACTATGTGAATAGTGGGAGTTAGGTGGGAAGGATGTTGCAGATTAGTCAAATTCAGTGTTAAAACTTGAAAAATAGTATAGACAGTGAGTTTCTTAGTTAAAGGGACATGTATTTTAGATTATCATCAAAGGTTATCAAGGTATACAGTATATTTATCATTCAACATTTAATAGTTCCTCAATGTTACAGAAAAGAGATAACCTCTGTGAAATAACTGGTTATATTGTTACTAATATAACTAAAGAAAGGTACAAAGTTTCAGTTGCATATTTGCATATTTCTTTCTTATGCCTTCCCTTTTTTTCCTAATTTTGATTTTCTTTATATTACTAACACATAACTGTCCCTAATTAATTCTTATCAGTTCTAATAAATTTAAAATTTTTTTCAGTATGTCATCTTGATCTCTTCTTGTCATTATTCATATTTTAAAAATATTTTTCTAGTTGTAGATGGACACAATATCTTTATTTTTATTTATTTAGTTTTATGTGGTGCTGAGGATCCAACCCAGGGCCTCATGTGTGCAAGGCAAGCTCTCTACCACTGAGCTACAACCCCAGCCCTTATTCATATTTTTTATTTATTTTATTTTTATGGTTTAGCTAAGATTATACGATACTACTAGGGTTAATATTAGTTCTGTTATATATTATTTAATCACAATATGGATATTTCCTTATACTGTATGCCCATGTTTTCTGAACATTTTGAAATCAGATTTAGATGTGGACTCTATCAAATGCCTTTTTTTTCCCCTTCTAGGAATGATGTTATATTTTATGTCAATAAAACTATAATTCTAGATTAACATGTATGAATATTTATTGTGTAATAATTGAAAGGCACTGTGCGAAGAATCTTGGAAATGTTTTATTTAATCTTTCCATTAATCTATGAAGTGACACTCCTTGTTGTAGTGGAGTTTAGAGAATTAAAGTAACATTTGAGCCATAGTACTGAAACTCAGGGACATTAGAGTCACAAGCCCTTGCTTGACTCTATATTGCTTCAACTATCCTTTAGTTTCTGATAAAACTCAGTTTGGTCTTTATGCCTTATTGTTTTAATGTATTTCCAAACTTAATATACTCAAATCTGTCCTGGAACTTTGTGTGTGTGTTCTTTAATGAGATTGGTTATAAGATTTACTCTGTTTCATATAGGCTCTTAGGATAAAGAATCTTATTAGAAAGCTTTTGTTTTCTATGCTCTGGGGATTATTTAGTGTAGGACTCGGTTGAACTAGTTAAAATTGGTTAATGTTATGGCTAAACTAAAGCATTTGTTACTTTGGGTATTTGATGAATCTTCAGGGCTGAGCTTATTTAGAGCAAATTTTAGATAAGCTTTCCAGATTTTGTTTTATTATCTTTAAGATTTCTTATCTCTTTCAGAGTAAGATTTTAAAAAATGTTTTATAGTTTTAGAAAATCTAGCTAGGAATTTTTCATTTATATTTCCATGTTTATTGGTCTGTAGTTTTCTTCTAAATAAAACCGTATATATGTAGAGCTATATCCTTTTTTATTACTGTCTGTTTTGGTCTCAATAATGTTTGCCAGGTGCTGTTCTATTTTATTAGCCTTTCCAAAATC